CTCTGATTCTTTCATGCATGTCCGAGAAATCAGAAAACGTCAACGTTTCCTTCTCAACAACTGTGGATTGCGGCACAGAGAAGGTTAAAAACAGCGGCGATTTTTCTCCATTGTGAACACCAGGGGTCACGTGCCGTAACTCCGGGTCGTAGGGGGCAAACATAGACGCACAGAACATTTGTAAACAATGAGAGCCAACAAACAGAATCGATTTTCAAGTTGATTTGTTGGCTTCAGGTAACCGTATGGAGACACGACTTTTGACAGACTCCAAAGTATTTCTGCAGACTTTTCTTTTCTTCCCCCCAACTCATGATGGATGCTAACGTGGTGCAATTCTGATTGAGTTCAGAATTTAAACCACTATACTCATTATACATAAAGTTTAATTTATTGATTTCTGTACATATTTGACACCATTTTCTGTTGCCTTAGCCTCAGTTATCTCTCATAGCAACACAATAGTCGTACAGACCAGTAACAAATCTACTGTTGCGCTCACTGAAATGCTCCTACAATGTGACATTTATGACTTTCTTGCAACTTTCTTTCCGTTACAGCCATACATTGCTCTCCCAATTATTTGCTGTTTAGTTTACTCCCCAGCCTCCCTCCATGGATCATCGGGCAAGGTCATCAGGTGAGGTTGTGTGTCTTTTGTCTGCAGTGGCCCAGCAGATTGTTTCGTGATGAAGCGGTCGTCTATAACAGCGTGACCCCCCGGGGTCAGGGCCAGAGCTGAGACGGTGATTCATTATCCAACATGGGGGTGGGGGGTGAGGGGGGTGTTTGGGTGGGTGATGGTGGAAGATGATTAATAAACTCCTGCATCACAATGTGTGAAACGAAGAGCTTCGAGAGTATTCAGCCTGACAAATGTGAGGAGGAGTCACATGACGGCTCTGATTTCCGTTTCCGTGGGTTTTCCGGTTCGTGTCGTCGGTTTTTGGTGGTCGTGGCGCGGCCGGAGCTATTCACGAACCAACGTCTTTGTCAGCTGGCTTTGGCTGAATCCTTCATCCCTGCCTGTGGTGACAATCTAATTAGAGATAAATAAATGGGATATATAATCAGGCTTAAATTACAGCCATCCGTCACTCAGTGGAGGACATTACACCTGTGAGCCGGTCGCGGTCGCAAACTAAAGAAACACGCCTGGCTCCCTCATAAATCTCAACACAAAGAGACGAAATCAGCACATCCGAGAAGCATTACTGAAACCGTTATGAGATCCCTCTGTCTTTCTGATCAAAGGAAAGCTCATGCTGCCGTTTGATAAAGTTTCCCTTCTTCGGGAGAATGTAAAATTAGAACAAAAATCGAAAGGTAGACGATACCTTTAGGTAGACTATCGGAGGTTGTGTGAGCGCGTCGTCGGGTTCCTACGCAACAGAATCACGCAGGTGAGCTCCCCAAACAGAACAGAAAGCCTAATAAACGGGCGAACATTCGAAGTTGGGCTGGTTGTTGAGATAATGGATGGGGAAACGATCCAGTTTCCCCGAGAAGGAAACACGCCTGTTCGGCCAAAGTTCACAGTAAGCACCAGGAGTCTGTTCGGGGGTTTGTTTCTTGCCTCGTCTGCGGCGAGATTTGAGCAGAAACTGCTGAAAAACAGTGTTTAAGACACTGTCAGTAAGCCACAAGAACATTGTCTATCAGTGCATGAGTACTTCTGCTGTACAAATCTGTTTTCATATGATTGCTTCCACTGTAAATTCTGCTACTGATTTTATTTAGATTGTTTTGAACGTGCAAAGGAACACTTCGATTACTTGCTTAAATTATCGCCTCTGCAAAGATAGTGCCTCCTTGGCTCAGGTGAAAACATTGTTTTTCTCTTCGGAAATGCTAAAACATTTTCCCATGAGGTACTCGAGTGGTCTAATCAACAAACGAAAGGGAAAGTGTTGTGTATTTTCCAGGTGCTTATTGCCATTATACAGCACAATCAAGTAGCAATGTTAATTATAGCTGTTTTAAAAACGCTGTATCTGCAAAACAAAATACGACTTAAAAGAAATTTGTTTTAATATCTCAGTCAATTTAAAAACTCCTGCTCTTTCTTAAACCCCGCCTTCATCGCTCATATGTCAACCTTTTTTTTTGTATGTTTTTTTTTTTTTTTTTTTTTACCAGCGCAGCTCTGAGAAGTAGCTCATATCATGAGCTCGGCAGATGTGCCGTTTCCCCAGGTGTCTGCTGATTGCTGCTGGCTAGTCTGAAGGAGCCCAGTGGGGGAGTTCGCAGGAGAGGGCTGCTCTGTGAGGCGGAAATGTCAGGTCGCGGTCGCGGTTCTTCATCCGCACTCGCGGTTCACTTTGGGGATGTGCAGTAACATTTTCACACAGACGTCTGATTGGGGTCACATTTTATTAGTAGTAATTACAAGAAAAACTGTATTTGAGCAACAGCAACAAAAAAAGCTAAACCGGGATTTGAGCCGTGCTAATGTAGCCTTATGTCTACAGTCTGTTCTGCTACTCCTGCTAACGCAGATTAGTTAGCTTAAATGCTAGGCTAATGTTAGCATGTTTTCTTTCTGTTCTGATGCAACATATGTTACATTTTGTACCGTATTTACATGTTATTGTCATCATATTGTGTGTCGAGAACAGAGAAAAGTAATTCTCCTACTTTATAAACTTAAGTTTCAAACTAAACCTGAACACAGCGAGAAGGCAGCGTCACACAATATAGGTCACAGTTCACAGAAAACATCCCAGTCAGTAAACCGACTACAACTGAGAATATTCCAGGACTTTCACACTTAACATTGTAAAATACAATCCCATTTAGTAAGACCAGCTGGAGAATTTCATTTCTTTTTGTTTTTTTGACCATCACAGCAAAACACACTGCCATGAATCATCTCTAAATGTGATAGTATTGAATTGAATCGGAGCTCATTTACCAAGTAGAGATCCAACCTCAACCATTTAGGACTGTCTGCTCTTTTCTTCTTTTATTTGACATATTTAAATATTCACATGTTTTGAACACTGTATCAGACCACCAAATATTTTTTACTCTCTGTCTCAACTCAGCTATGTGAAGCACGCTCGTATAAGATGCAAATTCGGCTTCCTTGTCAAGAAATTGATTGCATCATTATGTAAATGTACCACATTACCGATAAATCTCATAGTTTGTGACGGCGGTTTGTTTCTGCCTCAGCAGCAGAAAGGAAAGAGGAGAGGCCAAATAACACAGAGGTTTTTTTGTTTGTTTGTTTGTTTTTAGAAAATGAATGGCGGATCTGTTTACCCACCGCAAGACAACGCAGAGGTTTTACAGCACGGGTCACATCTGCACCGGGATAATGACAGGGGCCGGCCAAATGGAACAAAAAGTGTGTGTGTGGGCGCGCGCGTGTGTGTGTGTCAGTGTGGGAGAACTAATGAGTCTCCTATGAGCTATTACCCTCACCTTACCGCCGCACTCTGCAATAATAAAAGGCAACATTGCAGACATAACTCCCCTATCAGAGGATTGCATCGCTGCTCTCCTGGTGCAGGTGCTCAAGCAAACACTCATCACATGCGTGCAAACCCTCTACCTGGGTTAAAATCAGCACGACGAAGAAAAAAGTGTCGAGCGCCTTCTTGCTGATGGAGTTTGGAGACTTTTGTGAATGATTACTTAATGTGGGCGCGTGCAGAGGGTGGTCTGAGGTCAGGATTAGAAGACAATTGGCAGGTGGACGGCAGAGCCTAATAATGACTGATTACTAAGCCAATTATGCCATAGGTCTTAGAGTGCAGAGTGTCAGCTGTATGCGATAAGCCCAAGTCCAAATGTCCACTAATAACCTTAAACCAATAAGGCCACATAAGCACGGGTGTTTATGTGGCCGTCCATCATACGCACTGGCACTGCGTTGGCTTTCGTGAGGCACAAACCTCGGAGTTTTAGGCACTGGCAAAGACGTTTTCACACTTCCCCACATTGTAACCACTAAATATAATATCAAATGAAACAAGGGCTCAAACGATTAATCAAATTGATTGTGAATAATCAAATTAATTGCGATTAATTGGTTCTTACAACGATCGTCAAGTAATTCAGGAATCAATTAATTGTCAACTGGGGTGCACAGAGTCTACAGAAAAGGCCATTTGCCTTTTCTGAGTGCATCGAGAAGGGATGCTATAAATGCATTTTATTGCATTTCGGGCAATAAAATGTGTTTTTTTGTTTTTTGACAAATGAAATGAATTACTTTTGGACACAATTGTTTGACCCAAAAACAAGTCAGTTTCAGTTTTATATACAAGCATGGAGATAAGCGTCACTACGTTATATGAGCAATTTTAGTTCCTCAAGTGTTTTTTGTTTTTGGCTGGGAATTCACTCATTATTGGGGCTATATTCATAGCTTGGGAGTTGTGGGAACTGTTAATCTACTTCCTGAACTATTACTAACCCGTTCAGACAGACATGCAGCTCTGATCCAAACCATTCCATTATGTTTTTGTCCAACGATTAGCTCTTTAGCCCAGTCTAACACGGTGGTGGTGCACAAACGTGCTTTGGAGGAAGCTCTGCAGCAAATTCATGTGCTAGACCTGCCTAGTCAAAGTGCACACCTACACCCACTTGAGAATATGTGGCCAAGTTCTTGTGGAGGGATGAAGAGGAGCCATGTTTTGATCAAACCCAGATCATACTCCACTTTTTATTGATGCAACTTCAGTGAAATATATCGGAGTATGTGGTTGTCATGGAACAATTTTTTGTTTGTTAGTTTTTAAAAGTTTTTATGTTATATGTTTGCAAAGCTCCGAGAGTCACAGTGGACGAGCGCGGCAGAGGCACATGTGAGCGGGTTTGGCGCACTCGGTTCATTCAGTTCGAGGATCGCCCGATATTATAATAATGGAATTAAACTCGCCTCGGGTCGTGACCCCCCAATGAAACCGAGAGGGGAGGAAGGAGAGGCAGACTCAAAGACAGGAGGAGGCAGATAGAGAGAGCAATAGAGAGATAGAGATGGAGAGAGAAATAGAGAGATAGAGCAGTAGAGAGATGCCTGGATGCAGATCTTGGTAAGATGAGTCTAATAATCCCGCGAAGTGCAAAGACACGGCAGCAGAGCTCGGATATCTGGGTTTTATTTTCTCTCTTCTTGGCAAGGCAGTAATTTAAACAACAACCCAAAAAAAAGAGAGAGAGAAAAAAAACCTAGTTTGGCTGAATTAGGTTTTGGGCTCAGTGAAGGACAGTAAGGAGGGGGGATCTGCTCGGTGCGCTCCAGACGCACAACATGAAGGAGGTGGAGAGCAGCTGAGCGCAGTGACAGAGAGCCTCTCCAGGAGTTAGGATGTGAGCTGAACTTCGCGGTAGAATGGCCGGCCATGTGGCACTGACAGCCGAGGGATGGCAGCCTTTTATCACCACCACCACCATCACTTCAGCCAGCATCCCCTCCACCCACCCAGCACCGACCTGCGGCGGCTCTTCCACCGGCTCACCATCGCCTCCTCTCTGAGCATCATCTGCTTCTCCCTTGTCTACCTCCTCACCGGAGGCTGCGAGTCGGAACTCGCCGAGAACTCCGACATCCAGCCGCCCGCGCGCGACTTCCTCGCGAGGGCGTCGGAATGGCGGCAGGAGGGAAACGGGACCGAGGCGCCGGGGACCAACAGCTCGGGGAAGGAGTGGACGGCCGCGCGCCGGCTGCCCCAGGCTCTCATCATCGGGGTTAAGAAGGGCGGCACGAGGGCTCTGCTGGAGTTCCTGCGGCTCCACCCGGACATCCGGGCCCTGGGCTCCGAGCCGCACTTCTTTGATCGGCACTACGCGCGCGGTCTGGACTGGTACAGGTAGGCACGCGCAACACCGGAATCGCTTTTGATGAAGTTTTAATGGGCGGTATACATGTTTTTAAAAAAGTTGGTAGTGCCCCCTTTCATTCATAAAAGATCAGAATAGAACAGAGGGGTTCATCTGGGTTTTATTTACGGATGGGGGGCAGATTTACACTTGACTTTTATACATATTTATTGCTAACGTTCAATAAAAACCGATGGCTCCGGACAAAAGTTGCTAACAGGAACATTTCTTAAAACTGTAAGAAATTAGTTATTTTAGGACCCACAAAACAATCAAAAAGTGGTAAATAAATAAATAAATAGATAAATAAATAGATAAAAGTCGTGTGGTGGGGGTGGCAACTGGCCGACCGTTGCTAGCATCACTGTTAGCTAGCTGTTATTCCCAACAGTTAGCTAAATTACTGCTCTAGTACACTCAGGTACAGTACATGTTTCCTATACTTGAACATTCTGATTTTCCAGTTGTAGAATTGCGTGTGTGTGTGTGTGTGTGTGTGTGTGTGTGTTTTGTTTTAATTACTTACAGTCTGTAATTTCTGGCCTTCAAATAACAAACTGCTAGAAAGTGGCGATTGAGGACCGACAAAAACCGATTTTTAAAATGTTGTAACACTGATTTTTGACCTTAATGTCTGTTCCACAATTTTAAGACTCAAGAAATGATTAATAAATGAATAAATAAATAACAGCTGTGTGATGGGGTTGGGAACGGGCCGACCTTTGCTAGCATCGCTGCTAAAACTGATTAAGATATCTGTAGTGTTACATGAGTTTTAATCAAGGTTTGGGCACTTTTCATTTTACTGTTCAACATCCTCCCCTCTTTCTCCTGTGTAAACACATACCCTTACATTATCTGCAGTTCTTTCATTGCGGTTTAGGTGACAGGGAGACGCCGCCATCTGGCAGCTTTGCCAATCTGTGCCTCAGTTAGTGTGTGTGTGTGTGTGTTGTGTGCCTGCTGGGCGGTCTGCGCGTGTTTGTACAGTATGGAGAGACAGAGAGCCAGGGAGTCAGGCCTGTAGGATGAGTTCTCAAGAGCAGCAGAGTAATCATCTTTGAAGCCGGAGCCAGATGTTACTGTTGTCATGTGGCTCTTCTTTCGGCCTGCTCTTTGAAAACTTGGATATCTTCGAAAAGGGACACATGGAGGCTCATCTCTGTTTGAGATAGTGAGGGGGATATAAAAGTGTTTTCCTCAGATTTAAGCGCTTTATTAAAGTTTTTACAACTGTGTGGACTGGAGGATTTCATGCCGCTACACTCTGGACAACTGTTCAAAGTTCTTAGTTCCTGGAAGAAACTGACAAAGCCCATCAGGACAGTCGTCCAAGCTAAAAGTTTGGGACAGTTCTGTTGGAAACGGGTGCTGTTCTTTTTTTTTTTTTTTTTTTTTTTACGCCTCTTCGTCCTCTCAGGTATAACTTTTCTGGACTGAAATCGAGCCGCCCGCCACGGGACGTTTCACCACCGACCGCACACTCATTTGTACACTTTCCAGGGTATGTTTATTGGAAATCTGACAACCAAAGCTTACAGAAATGTTCTCCAATCTACTCTGCCGCATGGAAATGTGGTTACATAGCTCAAAAACCATTTTCTACCAGAGGAAGATCGTTTAGAGATATTTTGGTTTGACCAGGGTTCATAAAAGCCATCTGGTCCAAAATAGGACCAGAACCACATTAAATGGAAAAACGATGTAATTTATGTTCAGATGCAGAGAGAGAGAGAGAGAGAGAGAAGAAAAAAAATTGATTTGCGATGGTTAATGGTTTGTTCAAGGGTTTCAAATGGGAGCAGAAAGGAGCAAAATGGCGAACCATGAGGATCGCAACTGGAAAAACGTCAAACTGGAACCATCAAGAAATAATCATATTCTTAAAATGAACTTTTTTTGAACAGAAAAAAAAACATCTAGACCTTTTTATTTATCATTTTTTTAGTCTTTGGGTATCCCAGACTTGAAGTTGAAGTTAATCTTCTAGCAATATCAAAATTTTTGGCTCTATCTTGATGTAGCCTAGAGAAATCAAGTTATATTTTAGTACAGGGCTCAATCTGGCCTTAAATGAAACACACAAAATTATAAAAGTTTCAGATTATTGCTAAAAAAATATATATAAATAAAACAAATAAGTTCACTAATTAGGGAAAAAGCAAGCTAATGAAACCAACCAGGGCCTCAGGGTAAAAACTGATCAATCAGCCAAACAGGCCTGATTACTGCCAGGATCTGGAGAATCAAGAAATGACTTGAACAGAAACTAACAACCTTAAACAGGCTGAAAGCTGTCAAAAAAGCAAACACGTTGTCACATAAAGACATCCGAGAACAGATCAGCAGCAGAGTTGAAGCCGAAGTCATTCCCATGGCTTTGGGACTCGAGTGACGCGCGGTGAGAGCCAGCAGCCAACCTCATGCAGAGAAAACATGGAACGTGGGTGAATCTTCCCAGGAGTGGCCGGCGTCTACCAAAACGCAGACTAGACAAAAGCAACAACTAAAAACACCACCTTCAGTTAAAGTCTGTGTTCATGGTTGTAAAGCAAGAAATAAACGGGGCAAATGTGTCATTAAGAGGAGAGATCCGCGAGCCAAACAATCCCACTGCTGAGCTGAAAGAAAACAAAAGCTCCGTCCTTTTTCCTTTTGGGAAAATTATGTACGGTCTGACTGGTTGGACGTAGAACTTCCTATAAGCTGTGCCTTAGTTGAATCATAAAATTTTATGGCTTTGGTAATGTGATAATTTGAGGCTTCTGATGTGTTCTACTTTTTAAACACAACATTCTGATGCTTTATTGGCTTTAAACTCAAAACAAACTTGATTCTCATTTTCACATTCAGAGGCACCAAATTAACGACCCGTACTCACTGGACCAGACGAAAGCCCAGCCTGCAGTCCTGGATAGCTCTGCACAAGATAGCCTCTAATTTGTCAACAAAAAAAAATACCAGGGATTTTTAAAAACTATTGTAAGTTCAGGAAACAGTGTGAAATGTACGCCGCTGCTTATTTTTAATGATTCTGGACTTGAACATCCAGCAAAACACCATTCCTTACAGAATTAATAGCTACATTTAAATGGTGTTGTTAATTGAAGCTGCAGTACATAACTTTTGTAAAAAAAAATATGTTTACACATTTACTAAAACTGTCACTATGTCCAGACAGTATAATATGAGACATGACAAGTCTCATATCAAGTCTGCTTGCTTTCTGGGGTCCTTCTGCAATCCGCAAAAATACGCTGTTCCTGGTCAGAAACAGCCAATCAAAGTAAGGAGGAGGGTCTTAGTGCTGTCAATCAGGCTCATGTAAAGTTTGAATAAATATGTAAAAAACATATTTTTATAAAAGTTACATATTTCACCTATAAGTATGCTGTTGTGTTTTTGACTTTATTAGATGTACTGTGACTGACATAATCTATATCTGTCCGACCTCCCTTTTTTGTGTTGTCATTTTAAAATCACCACCAAATGTTTAGCCTACACAAGGAAACAGAACTAAATCCCACGCAGCAGGTTGTTTGAGTGGAGCTTTCAAACCCTGTCTGACTGATGTCTGTATGGCAGAAAATGTGTGACTCACAAGATTCACAGCACGGATAGCTGTTGAATACCATATCATATATGAAATAGACAGACCTTCCTTGCTTTGGTTGCCACAGAAGCCACCAGAAGTAAATGTATTTTACGAGAAGCAAAACAAAACCAGTATAGCAATGCTTTGTTGAAATGCCCAAAAATCTGAAAATAGTAAAAATCCTTTGGAGCCACTCTTTGTGTGTTCAGTCGTTGCATCTCAGATGCGTCTGAAACATTCGGTGGCGTACATACGTGACGCACGCGCCGTGACAGCAGATTGTCGCGTCTCTCCCTCGGACCAGATGGGCCTCGCTGTGTGTTGAACTACTTGACATCACTGTCAGCTCTGTCAATTGACCTCTGACTCCGGGTCACTTTGCGCTGAGAGTTAATGATGTGTTCACTACACTTCATAACACGAGGCCCACGCCCTGAACACACTGACAGACAAAGGACGCACATCTTTGTTTTCGAGGGAATATAAAAAACCCCCCAGAAACACTAAAAATAGATCGTTTTAACACTAACACAACAAATAAGTGAAATGGGAACTATAAGTACTTACATTTCTGCAAAAATGAAGTGTAAAAGTTGTAAGCTGAATGTTACTGGTGAATTTTACATTAGTTTTTTAAGTTCAGCTGCAGAAGTGTGAGTAATAGGCAGAAGCAGAATGAAAGAAAAAAAAACTAAAGTCTTCACAACATGTATAGGAAAACTGTTGAGGGTTGAAAACTTTAAGTCAATACAAGTTGACTGAAAGTTGCTTCAAAAGCCAAACTGCACACAATCACTGAAATGTGGCATTAGATAGATTTAGTTTCTTAGAAAAAAACACAAACATGGGGTAGACCTGAACTGAGTCAAAGACAACAGAATACAGCAGAAAATAAAGGAAAGTCAGGAACCTAAACATATGGTAAAACAGATGAGGGGTAATACTAAGACAGAAAAACACAGATGGGTTTGATTGCTGGGACACTTAGCTGAACTGAGGAACTGAGGAGAAACAGGCCTGACAACAGTCTTAAGAAAATAAGTACAAATACACAAGAAATGTAACACTAAGAAAAACATAGCACCTACTGAACTAGGGAATGAACAGCAAACCTAAATAGCAGCTAATTAAACTAATGAGAATGAATAAGAAAATTAAAACACTGGTAAAAGAACATGACAGGAACAATCCAAAGTGAGGGTAATAATTATTAAGGGCTGAAGAATAAACTATAAAACTAGTTATGGTCTGGCATGACAAAAATAGAAACTGACAAAATAGGAAAAGACTAAAACTAGAATTAACTAAATGTATCAGAAACTAGAGAGGAAGGTTAACATCAGAATAACTTCTAAAAAAAGTACCAGAAAGAACTAAGAATGCAAAAACACACAA